CATCTACACAGAAATAATCTTCTCCTCCCTTAGCACGATATCCATCAGTCCTTCAGTGGAAGGTGTCAGCTTTATTTTTTTTGTAGGAATCCATTTGTAACTTTCCTCCAGCCCCAAGTCTAGGTCACGTGTACTTCCATTGTGTATCCACAGGACTCTGTGCTTATTTTTCCCAAGACACATCACTCTGTGTAGTAATTACCTGCTTGTCTGTCTGTCTTTGCCCATTTGATATAATCTCTCCAACGAGAGAAATCCTATCTCCTTCCCTATATTGTTCCAAGGCCTAGATACATCTCATATATAGTAGTCACTTAATCAACATTTGTGGGATAAATGAATGGTATGAACATTGAATTTGAAGCAACTTGTGGTGCCTAATCAATTAAATATTTTTTAAAGTCACTGCTCATACATGACAGGTTATAAGAACATGAGTTCTTTGTACATGTTTCCTAGGAATGGGTGGCATCTACCTCTCAAAGTTTCTATTCTAAAGTGAAATCTGATTACTAGGCATTCCAAAATTTTGTACATGATGACAAAGGCATCTATAAAAATAGAGTTAGACATATCTAACCAAGTTTGCAACTTAGAAGAGGGCCAAGAAGACAGTAAGTAGTTATTTGAGAATAATATTATCAGAGCAAACTGAGTTTATGTTGGGAGGTTTATTAACTTACTAGGCATGTGGTCTTAAGCAAGTATTTAATCTTTCTTTTAATAAGGTCCCAACTTCATGGGTTATGGGAAGAATTAACACCCAGAGTATGAATATAGTATTCTCAATGCTTATCATATAATCTCCCAATACAAGTTATTTATATTGTACCTCTAGCACCTAGCACATAATAGGTATCCTTTAAATCTTTGAATAAATATTACGTAAAAATGACAGAGACAAAGTTGTTGGCTTTCACAGAACCTTAAAATTGGTATAACATGACAAGATGGTGAGGGAGTCACTTAATAATGCCCTTTTCAGACAAGGACAATTCTCTAGTCTGGGCAATGTATTCTGCCAACTGAGAGTGAAGCATTTTATCAGATATCCACACAAAAAATTCCACCCAGTTATAAACATTCTTGCCATTAATATCAATGAGAATATATATAATTCTTATTAAAATTTTTTTTCAGTAATTTTTCAACAAATTCATTCCAAGAAGTTGAAAATCATAGGAACTTTCACATCTATAGACTGTCATAATAATTCCAGAGTTAAAGGACAAGAATATACTTATCTGAGTGGCAAACCATATAATACAAAAACTTGTTACAAAAGAATATATTCCTTCTTTTAAATGCATCCATTAAATATCTTTTATACTTCTACTAGCGGCCTGGTGCATGAAAGTCATGCACATTAAAAGGGAATTAATTAGAGGAAATATTTTAATATTGCTATTTGCCCTTTCTCTATAATAGAAGTGTCAGAGATGAAAGAAAATTAGTAAAATGTATATGAAAATCTTCCTCCTGTCAGAGTCTGGGGTGCACCGTGGGACCCAGAATCAAGTCCCCGCCCACCCATGCACACCTCGAAATCCTGCGAGACCCAGACCCAGCTGGCCCCATCCCCATTGGTCGAGATCCAGGCCCGGCCGGCCCCACCCCCATCAAGCCCTGCCAGGTGGGGGGCTCAGCTTCAGGTCACCCATCAAGCCCTGCCAGGTTGGGGGGGTGCAGCCTCAGGTTCCCTGCCCCGGCCTGGTGTCACACAGCCTCAGGTTCCTGCTGATTGCTCATTATGGCTTGTTACGGGAACTCTGCCTCTGATGTGGGCATAGCCATCTTGTGATGGTGTGACAGACTGAGGGTCAATTTGCATATTACCTCTTTATTATATAGGATTTTACACTTCTAAATACCTTCTATACTTCAATAGGTCCCAGGCATTAAAACACCTGGTCGGTATGCTCAATTGTTAGAGCAATGGCCTGAGCAAGGAAGGGTCACAGGTTCGATTCCCTGTCAAGGGCATGTACCTGGGTTGCAGATTCAATCCCTGCCCTGGTCAGGGCAAGTGTGGGAGGCAACCAATGAATGTGCCTTTTTCATATTGATGTTTCTCTCTCTCTCTCTCTCACCTTCTCTCTTTTTCTTCCCCTCCCTCCTTTCCACTTTCTCTAAAAATAAATGGAAAAATACCCTCAGGTGAGGATTAACAACAACAACAAAAAAAAGAAGAGGAAACATTCTTGTTTGCAGGAATTAACAGTTAGGTGGTAGAGATGGACAGATACACTGGGTTACAATGCCATGTGATAAATTCAGTGACAGAGTTATATGCATCTGCTGTAATGGCCATAGGAAAGTTAGGAAAGACTTCCCTTGGGAAATTTCTCCTTAGTAGAGTCCTAATTTTGTCCAAAGTTGTAGAGGGCAATGAGGAAAAGATATTCTGGGAAGAGGGGAGGTAAAAATAGTATAAGATGTGTGTGTGGTGGGGGGGAGAGGGGTTCCTTCTTACAATAAGCTGTACAATGTTGATAGAGTGGAAAGAGATGAGACAGGAGAGAAGACAGGGGCCAAATCCTGGAACCCCTCAAATGGTATACTAAACATCTTGAAATTTATACTGAAAGTGATAAAGGTCAGTGAAATGTTTCATGTCAGGGAAAGATGCCAAGAACTTACATGCATTTTAGATAAAGCATGTATGTATATTCTAAACAAAAAGTAGAAGAGATTAGAAACTTCTCCAATAGGATTTATACATAATTCTTATTCACCTTATCAAACTGTTTTGTAAGTCTAGTGGGTTTTCTTACTTTCCTTAGACCACTGGTTCTCAAACCTGCATGTAAATCAGAATCACAGGAGGGGTTGTTAAAACATAGATTATTGGGTGAAGTTTGGGGCCTGATTTTGCATTTCTAACAAGTTCCAGACTCATGCTTAATGAAGCTTATCCTTGTCCATCCTGTGCATACCACTGCTTTAGACTATGTTCTGGCTTCCTTATTATTGATTTTGTTTCTCAAACACCTAGTCCAATGTCTTTTCTAGAAAAAGGTACTCATGACCTATTTTCAAATTAAAAAATTATGGAATGAAAAAATTCCAAGTAGAGAGGAAAACATGTTAAGCAGAATAGCTGTATTTCTCCTTCATTGGAAATTACCCAGAGTGCACTTCCCACTGAAGATGAAGACTGATGAGTGCATTTCCCAGGGCACTGGAACACTGAAGCAGTCTTGCTGCAGCAGAATGGAACCGCCCGGCACACTGGAGCACAGCACAGTGGAGCTGCTCCTTGAAGAGGGCTTGGCCCCACAGCTGACTCACGGCTGTGGAGCTGTTCATACAGAATGAACTTTCCTTCTTCACCATCTCCCAAACTGGGGTTCCTGTTGGCCTTTGAATTGGCAGTTGACATTCCATGGCACCCAACGTGGGGCTCTGAAGCAGCTACCAGATCTCCTGACACCACCCTGAAACCAACTCCTCTGATGGCTGAATAACCCGTGCTTGAATTGTGTTCCTGGTAGCACCCAAGGATTTTGGGAACTGTGCATTGTGAATAATTGAATTGAACTCAAGACTAACCTTTACAATACCCTTTATTACTATTATTGTTATTATTACTAGAGGCCCGATGCATGAAATTTGTGCAAGAGTAGGCCTTCCTTCCCCAACCCTTCCTTCCCCTGGCTGCCAGCACGGGCTTCCTTCCCACACCCGGGACCCAGGCTTCCCTCGCAGCCCCTGCTTCGTCCGGAAGGTCACCCTGAAGGACATCTGGTCTAATTAGCATATTATGCTTTTATTATTATAGATTATCATCCCTAACATTTAGGAAGGTTAAATATTACATTCAAGCTCAGACATCCTTCCAATGGGAAAGACTGGCGTGAAGCCCAAATTATCTGATCTGGTTTTACACCCCCTCTGGAAAAGCCTGGTTTCTAGCCTCTTACAAGCCCTCATCATGTTCAGATGCAGAGGCCGGAGGGAGCTATTGGGCTGAGAGTTGTTTAGAAGCCCTCAGTCTTGGTTAGAGCTGCAATGAGAGGAGGAGAGTCTAGAATGTGAGACCCTCAAGGGCAGAATTAACGGCTGTCTTCCCTGTGGGAGTACTGAGTGTGTGCTTTAGAATTGTGGCAAGTAGGATACAGTTGTGATAGGGTATAGTTATGGACTCACCATCTCATGTGGCTGGGATGCTTCCGATGGCCTGACATCTGCACCAGGGATCGTGCTGGAGCATTGAGAAACTGCATCCCAGCAAGACCAACAACCATGTTTGCTTTGAGTCACATTACCAGCTAGAAGAACAGGCCATGATTGAAACTTTTTAGGATGGGGAAGAAGTGGTGGTAAATTACATAGTATGGCCAGTGCTAAAATGCACCCAAACAAATGTACCACTCTATACATACTAATAATTCAGACAGTTACCTCTTCAAACACAGTTGTGCCAGACAAACAATATTTGGAAAAAAACAAGTACTCTAGACAAATGGACCATTCCAAATCCACTAAAATCTCTAGACACAAATTATAACTAACACGCAGTATGTAATACTTCAGTTATAGTCATTTTCACACACTGGAAAGCTCAACATATTGGCAGTCTGATGCACAGTAATACCTCCAAGCACACCAAACTCTGGGCATTTTGATTTTCTTGTCCAAACAACCAAGCATATGCTAGCAATCACATGCTCACTTCAACTTAGATAGGGAGAAGGGAGCCAGACTGGAATTTCTTTGAGGCCATATCAGACCAATTTATAAATTCTTTATTTTTTAAGGGATATAGCAGGCATTTATTTGTTTCAAGAAATGAAAGAGTTGACCCACTTCAGAAAAGTTGTTTTCCCATCTTGAAAGGTGTGGGTGGATGATAACATTGGAGATCCATTCAAGTCAATATGCACACGTCCCATGAATGGCTAGAGTGTTCCCTCCTAGACTCGGGAGAGCTGCAGAATGGGGGAGGGATGAGGAACAGATCTCCGGATTATGGCGCCCCTCCCCAAACTAGTTCTAGATCAGCTCCTTTTTGACTTTTGAGATGATCTAGACCTCTTTTGGGTGACACTGAGGTTGTTGTATTCCTGGGGGGAGGAGCCATGCACTTTGCCCCCTGGGCTGCTCTGGTCTTTCTTCTTTTGATCTCCCTGAGTGGTTCCATGAGATCTTGGGATTGATTTGTCCCCCCACTTCCTACCAGAATGGGAGGGCTTTTTGGTGGGAGTTTTCTCCTTTTCGTTTTCCTTCCTAAGGGCTTCAGCTTGGCATTGGGAGACTCTCTGGTCTCCATTCTCTTCACTCTGGTCTTCACTGTCTTTACTCTGGCAGGCTGAGACGAAGGGCCCAGCTCCTGGACCTTCCAAGGTCTCTGTAACAGGTCTGTTGGTCGTCTCCCCTCCTGCAACCGAACTCACACTGCCCTCGGGTGTTAGTGCTGCTGCCTCCGGTACTGCCGCCTGGTCAGGCCCTGCTGGTGCCGGGGTTAGGAAAGACAGCGTGTCCTTAAGCACAAGGTTGTCCCATGAAGAATATTGTTGGACTCCTTCCCCACCAGCATAAGCAAGAGAGGTGGCCCCAGACACCTCAGTGACCATGTGAAGGCTTCTGATGCTGACCTGGTCTTGGGCACCTTCTCTATGGAACTCCGTGGCCTGTGCCGAGAGGAGAAACAGGGAAGTAGAGAAGAAAATAAGTGGAACTAGATAGGGCTGTCACCAAGTCCAGTCTCCCAGAAGATGCAGGAACCCCCCTCTAGCATCCCCACAAGGGTCACTGCGGCTTTGTTTGGAGACAAACAAGTTCCAGTGCCAGAGAGAACACTAGGGACTCACCAGTGAGCATCCTTGTACTTTTATTTTACGCTCTTGTCTTAGCATTTCTACAAAACAGATTCCTAAAGGGAGACGGCTGGGCAAAAGCTATGGCCATTTTACATTCTGATAGCTACCGGCTAACAAATTGTGCACCTGTGTGCAAAGCATGCTACAATGCCACAGATTTATACAAAAATCAGTTCATGGCGCAAATAAAGAAAGGGCTTTCTCATAGTTAAAAATGTCCCACAACAGATCAGGCGACCTGAGTCCACGGCAGTATGTGTTCCAGAACAGATGCTATTGGCAGCGTTATAATATCGGCGATGGGGTCAGAGGAGCTGACATCTAAGGGATCTCGGGTATTCAGAAGCATTCACGCCCCCCCCCCACCTCCCCCCAAAATGTGGCAAGGCCTCCACATAGTGGCTCATCTGGCCAGAGCCCATCCACGTGCAGTGTTTCCCCAGTCAGCCCAGGAGAGCAGCCCGAGAGCCTTCAGTTGCCCTCCCGAAGCACTTGGGCCCCTCTCTGAGTTTCCACAAAAACTTACGGCTGGGCTCTTTCTGTCCTCTGCCTCGAACATAAGTATGTCCATCATGTCACAAGCTGGTATGGCCTGGGTTCCGCTGTAAGCCTCCACGGGCGGTCTCAGGAAGAACACCAGGTCTTCCCAGTGTGCAAACAGATCTTCTTTTGCATTTGAAGGGGAGTATAATTGTAGGTAAAAAGAGCTGCCACTGGCCAGCTTCAAGTGGAGCTGTTTGTTCTCATGGCTGTGGATGGACAACTTCACAAGCCTCAAAGGAAGCAGCCTGGTCAGCTCCAAGATCTTCGCTGACTTGAGCCCCTTGCCACGGGTGCATGGGGTGCGTGGGTCATGTCCCGTGCAGTCCACACAGCTCGCAGCCGGTCGTGCCAGCAGCATGACATCAGGGATTGTGAGGTCAGGGCTGGTGTATGCGATGCCCACGGTGACCATCCCCGCATTGTTGTGCATGCCGATCACTTCTCCTCTTTTGTTGATCTGGATGAAGTCACTCTCAAACATGAGAATGTCCTTGAACATGGCGAACTCGCCCTTGCACAGCTGCCGCTGCAGCTTCCCCACGGAGCCTCGGAACATGGGCAGCACGTGGCTGCCCTGCCACAGCATCATGTTGCTACCCAGGTCCATCTCTCACTAAGACCACTGCATGTCCTCCCCAGAACCTCTGCCACGGCCTCTCACTGGCCACCTGTAAGCTTTTGCTGTCCATTGTGACCTGCGGCCAGCTGTCACACACAGCACTGTGTCCTCATCCCTACAGCTGCCCCCACAGGGAGGGACAGCACCCTGCTGCAAACAGCCGCCCCACCAAGGCACAGAGCGTACCACATTCTTAGGGCTTTTGCTACGTGAAACACACTATGCTTCTTCAAGGCCACTTGTTTGCACGCAGCTACCGCAGGCAATGATATGTAAATTACTAGCCATCGTGCGAAAAATATCTTTTATTAATCTAGAGAGGTGATACTCCTAGGTGACAAACACTTAAGGCTTTTTAAGAATTGAATGTGGTTTTGAGCTTTTGCTTAATGTTTCCTTTCATAGTTATCCTAGAATTTCTGTGAAACATTAACTTCAGTCACCAGGTTTGAATTTAAGAAGGTACCTAAAGGTTTAACAGGGAAAGATTTGCTAGGAATCTCCTTATCTTTCTCAAGCCTGCAGCATTTAGTTGTATACATCTATAAACTGCTTTCTTGAAAACTGAATTGGGCTTCTTCATGTTTTTCTGGAAACATATATTTTTTGCCACTTGCCAAAATATTCTTTATCAAATATGCAAAGGTTAATTAGCCATTATAGAAAACAAAATAAAAGTCATTTAAATTCACGAGAAAAAAATATCAAGACCTTTAGTGAGTTGAATGGTGGTAAACTCCCTCCCCCTCCCCCCCCAAATATCCATGTCCTAATCCCTGGAACCTATGAATATTATCTTATTTAGAAAAAGGGTCTTTACAAATATAATTAAATTAAGGCTCTTAAGAAGATTGTCCTGGATTATCCAGGTGGGCCTTTTTAAAATTTTTATTTTATTTTTTCCATCACCATTTAGACCCCCAGACCCTCTTCCACATCCCCCAACCCCCTCCTCCCCACAATCAGCACACTGTTGTCCATGTCAATGAGTTCTTTCTCTTTTTTTTCTTTTTTGCTCAATCCTCCCACCCCCCACTCCCCCTCTCCTGACAGCTGTCAGCCTGCTTTCTATCTATGAGTCTGTCTCTATTTTGCTTATTAGTTCAGTTTGTTCATTAAATCCCACATATGAATGAAATCATATAGTACTTGTCTTTCTCTGACTGGCTTGTTTCATTTGGCATAATGTTCTCCAGGTCCATTCATGCTATTGCAAAGGGTAAAATTATTTCCTTTTTTATGGCTGAGTAGTATTCCATTGTAGTAAAGGTACCACAGCTTTTTTTTATCCACTCATTTACTGATAGACAGTTGGGCTGCTTCCAAATATAGGCTATTGTAAGTTATGCTGCAATGAACATAGGGGGTCCATATATTCTTTCAAATTAGTGTTTCAGGTTTCTTTGGATAAATTCCCAGAAGTGGAATTGCTGGGTCATAACACAATTCCATTTTTAATTTTTGAGGTAACTCCATACTAATTTCCCACCAATAGTGCACTACGGTCCCCTTTTCTCCACATCCTCATCTACGCTTGTTTGGTGACTTACTGATGGATGATAGCCATTCTAACAGGTGCAACTGATTCCTGGATATTTATTTTATTTCCTGCTACTTTACTGAATTCATTTATCAGGTCTAGCAGTTTATTTGAGGTGACATTTCATTGTGGTTTTAATTTACATCTTTCTGATTAGTGACATTGAGCATTTTTTTATGTCTACTGGAAATCTGTATGTCCTCTTTGTTAAATGTCTATTCAGGTCCTTTGCCTATTTTTTAATTGGGTTGTTTGTTTTTTGGTGTTGAGTTGTGTAAGTTCTTTATAAATTTTGGTTATTAAGCCCTTACCAGATGTATTGGCAAATATGTTCTACTATTCAGTAAGTTGTCTTTTCATTTTGTGGATGGTTTTTCTGTGCTGTGCAAAACCTTTTCAGTTTGATGTAGTCCCACTTATTTATTTTTTCTTTCATTTCCCTTGCCCAAGGAGATATATTAGAAAATGTATTGCTAAGAGAAATGTCTGAGATTTTACTACCTATATTACTACCTATACTCTAGGATTACTACCTACATTTACTACCTATATTACTAGCTATACTCTAGGATTTTTATGGTTTCAAGTCTAACATTTAAATATTTAGTCCATTTTGAGTTTATTCTTGTGTGTGGTGTAAGAAACTGGTCTAGTTTTATTTTTTGCATGTATTGTCCATTTTTTCCAATACCATTTATTGAACAGACTATCTTTAGCACCTTGTATGTTTTTGCCTCCTTTGTCAAATACTAATTAGCTATAAAGGGATGGGTTTATTTCTGAGCTTTCTATTCTATTCCATTTATCTAAATGATTGGGTTTTTTATGCCAGTACCATGCTGTTTTAATAACTATGGCCTTGTAGTATAGTAGCATGATTCCTCCAACTTTGTTCTTTCACAAGATCACTGGTGCTACTTGGGATCTTTTGTCATTCCATATAGATTTTTGGAATATTTGTTCTATTTCTATGGAATACGTCATTGATATCTTGATAGAAGTTGTGTTGAATCTGTAGATTGCTTTGGGTAGTATGAACATTTTAATGGTGTTAATTCTTCCTATCCATGAATACAGTATATGCTTCCACTTATTTGTGTTTTCTTCAGTTTCTTTATTTAGTTTTTTATAATTTTTTTTAGTACAGGTCTTTTACAACCTTGATTAAATATATTCCTAGGTATTTTTTAAAGCAATTTTGAGTAGGGTTGTTTTCTTAGTTTCCTTTTCTGATAGTTCATTATTGGTGTATAAAAATATAACTGATTCCTGAATATTTATTTTATTTCCTGCTACTTTACTGAATTCATTTATCAGGTCTAGCAGTTTATTTGCCTACAGGGAACAAAAAATTAAACTGCATTAAGAGTTTACTAAGAATGAGCAGAAAAATGGAGGCCGAATAGGCAGATGTGTCCTGTGCCTTATCCTGGAGCAGATAGAAGGAGCAACTAAATCAAATAACATCCAGCCGGAATTGGCAAATTAGACACAGCTGGTGAGACAATTCATAGCCGGAAAGGTCAGAGGATGCTTGGAGAATGGTAGGATTGGGGATCTGGACGAGAGAGACGGGCAACCACCAGGCCAAGAGGGACAGAAGGAGGCGGCACTGCACCAAGGCCACGTCCGTTGGGGACAGGCGTAACATCTGACCATGGAAAGGAAGTCCACAGGGCTGCTGGCGGTTGGGGATTCTAGATCTAAGTCCACAGCCACAAAAGGCCGCACCCAGAAAGGTGGCCTGAAGAGCTGCCTGAGTTGCACAGTGCCAAGAGGAGAGAAACTCATAGTCAACTTGAGTGGTTATTTTGCCTCTGTTTTGTCCTTGCTTTTATTCACTAAACCCAGTTCATAGGACCTTTCAATTACAAACACTCACCGAGGCTACTATGCAGGTGGAGGTGCAAATTTGTGGAGTCTGGGGAGAGGCTTTGGATTTGGGCAGGACAGGGAGAGGTGACCAGGAATCCAGCATTGAGACATTTCAGACCCTCCAAACCTAAGCAGCCATTTTTCTCCTGAAGAGCCAGCCCCTCTCAGCAGCCTCAAGGCAGCTAATACAGCCACACCCAGCCCACACCTAGAGCTTTTCAAAGGAAACAGACTCTGAATAGCCCCAAAGAGCCCTCAGGGACTAGGTTGAAAAGGGGCTGTTCAGTCCCTGAAAGTGAAACAGCACCAACCCCACCTAAAGCCCTGTCAGAAACAGATGCTTGAGTGATTAAGATTGACAGCAGGCAGACAGGCAAAGTGGGCAGATTGGTCCCAGCTGCTTGCAGCCAAGGCTGTGGAGACGGAGACAGAGGAGCAGTGGATTGCTTGGATCTTCAACACAGTGCTGACTACCTAACTGTTCAGACCCTGAAAGTGAAACAGCACCACCCCCACCTAAAGCCCTGTCAGAAACAGGTGCTTGAGTGATTAAGATTGACAGCAGGCAGACAGGCAAAGTGGGCAGATTGGTCCCAGCTGCTTGCAGCCAAGGCTGTGGAGACGGAGACAGAGGAGCAGTGGATTGCTTGGATCTTCAACACAGTGCTGACTACCTAACAGGAAACTGAGAAGTGGCAGACAGAACAGAAGACTGGGGTCTTTAATGCCCATGGGGCATAAAACTCAGCTGAAGTGAACAACACTTCACTTTTTTATCATTTTTTTAAAAATTATTTTTGTTTCTTTTTTGTTTGTTTTTTATCTTTTATTTTTTGTATAGTTTTTTCTTCCTTCAATTTTTATTTTTTTATTGTTATTTTATTTTATTTTATTTTATCTTTTTTTCCCTTTTCTTCCTCTCTTCATCCTTTTCCATTCTGTTTTCTCTTCTCCTGTCCCTGCTTTAGTTTTTCTCTTTCCTTTCTTTTTACACCTTATTAAAAATTGATCTTCTTTATTTGTTTTTTTTTTACGTGTTATTATTCTTATTATCTCTGTTGTCTTACTCATATCTCTAATTTCTTCTCCCCTACTCCAAGTCCAGGCACCCTTCTCTTTTCTCTTTCTTTACTAGTCAATTTTTTATGCTTTTGTTTTTCTCTCCTCTCTTGCTTTCTTCTTCTCCTAATTAGTTTTACTCACTAAACTCAAGCCTATCTTCTCTCTCCTCTATTCTCCTTTTCCCAAAATAAATGAATAAATAGATAAATTAAAAAAAATTTGTTTTATCTTTTTATTTTTTTTATTTAATTTTTATCTTTCTTTTTTCTTCTTATCCACTAATTCTCTTTCTACCTCCTCTATACTGAACCATGGTCCTTCCCCTATTCATTCATTTTTTTAACCTTTCTTTCTGTATATAAGCTCCGCCTCTACAGATTCTGTCCCTCCCCTTTTTCTGGCTGTTTATTGTTTGCATTTTTTTGGTTTATTTGTTTGTTTAAAAAATTTTTGTTTTATCTTTTTATTTTGTTATTTAATTTTTATCTTTCTTTTTTTCTTCATATCCATT